TTATTTATTTATTTCTATCCCACCTTCATTATTTTTATAAATAACTCAAAAGAGCAAACATACTAATACTCCTTGCGCCTCCAATTTTACCCACAACAACTTGGTAAGGTAGGTTGGGTTAAGAAAGAGTGACTGGCCCAAAGTTATCCAGCCGGCTTTCTGTCTGTGGTGGGACACTATTCCAAAGGATAGGTGCTACAACAAAGAAGACATGCTTCCTTATATCCCTTTAGATGACATTGTTTCATAGAGACAACCCACAGAGTAACTATTCTGTTGGATGTCATGGGACAAGCAGGCACAATCAGCCAAATGATAGATGGTTGATGTGACACATGAGAACAGAACAGATTTTTCAAATAGAGTGTACTCTTTCTTGCATTTGTCTTAAAATAGCATGTCAGCATTATAAATGCTAGCATATTAGAATCAGAGGCGCTAGAGATTTCTTTGAGGATTTGTGGCAAAGTTTACAGCACTCAATCCTTCACTTCTTAAGAGTCATCATTTTGCAGTATTGCCCTGATATTTCAAATTGGCCTGTTGCTGATTTAGCTTACCTAATAAACTCATGGCAGACAGAGCAATGCTACCATAATAAATTCTGAAGTACAGGAGTTCATTACAACAAACCTTATAAAACATCAGTTGTTCTGATCCATTACACACATATATTATAATGTCTATTTAACTTTGGGGAAGATGCCTAGAAAAAGGCAGGGTCGGAGATTACTGCCTGAAGTTATCTGATTTCATGAGGAACAATGACAAATAGGGATATTATCACAGAATTATGCTCTTTTGTGTCCTTTCTCCATTATGTCACTGGAGTTTAAATTTAACATTTATTTGTATTTTTATCACTTAGTCATTTGCAATGATTCATCTGGTTTTTGTTCAATTCATAATACCAGATGAATAGATCAAACCAATTCAGTTCAGATTATAATATTGTTCATTTACATTCTCAACACACGTACACACAGAGTGTAATGGTGGCTCAATGTATAAGAAACTTTATTAAACAGTGCAGAGAGGAAAAGACATAGTATCTAAGAGAAGAGGACTCTCTGCTATTCAATTACAAATTTCACCAGTAGCTTTGAAACAGAATCTCTCATCAGAACAAGAATCAAATTCTGTGCCTTGAACAACAAATTTTAAAAAATTAAAAAGCAAAGCAGCCAAAAATTGCATTTTCTTAACATACTTTTTCTTGCTTTTCTCAGGAGAAAAATCAGTGTGATGATCAAGAAACTTTAAGTCCTCTACAGTATAATGAGCAAATTATTATAGTAATCATAAATACCAAGTTATGAGGAGGAGGTTTGCATATAATTATCAGCCTAATTAAAAACAATTCTGTATTCTCATGATTAGAAAAATCAGTCAACTGTGGAGGTTTTAAAAAATTATGCCAATGCAAATTGCAAATGTTTCTTCTTATTATTATTTTTTTAATCTAGTTAATGGATTGCAATTATAAACTAAAAATCCAAAAAAGCTGAATTCAAAAGATTGGCTCCAAGACTTCCTTTGGAAGGGGGCCAGTTAAATAGAAATTGTCATCATGTGAAACATTTTAGGATATGAAAGCCAAAAAGAAAAAGAGGACACTCTTGAGATACAGCTGACTCATAAGATAATAAATACACTGTAGGGGTATGGTTTGGTATTAGTTTAATGTTTTATAGTTTTACGATTTTGGGTCCATCTACAAGATGTTCACTTTTTTAAATTATACAAAATGTTAGTCTAACTACACAATGTTGAGAGAGATAGAGAGCTAATAGCCTGCAAGAAGGCAACTTTCTCAACAAATACAGCTGTAAGATTCAGCATATTCAAAAGACTTGTGATAAACAATTTGGGGGGGGGAGGAATAGGATTCAAACAAACAATAAACCAATTAAGTGAAAGAAATACAATAAACAAAAACAACCATTTAAAACAGGCACTTGAGTCATTATAAAAACTCCAGTATTGCAGAACATGGGCTATAGATTCAATGACACCCTCACATTCTTTCATGGAGCCTGTTTAGTTTTGATCCCCAGAACAGCTGTTGGGAAAACATTAAAGTGTGTTCTTCATAGTTGACAACTTACACTGTTGCAATTTTTGCAAGGATGATTTTTCCTCCCACGTTTCTCATAATTATCTGCCACAATCAAAGAACTCATCTTCCCAAAGAAACAGTAACTTTAGCCAGTGAACACTGATATAATTCTGTACAATAATCTCCACTTTAGTCAGACCATCTTCTTTCTTACTAGTGCATTTGGTACACTGGGCGCCACTTAAAACACATTCTTTGGGTATTTAATTTGGGGAAAAAAGCTGTATAGTCTCAAATGAACTCCAAACAAAAGTTTTTATTATATTTATTTGTTTGTTTGTTTGTTTGTTTGTTTGTTTGTTTTGTCAAGCATGTATAAGATAACAGATATAAATATAAACATGAATATGAGTACAGGAAATGGAGACAAATAAGTGGAGACAGTAGGACAGGGATGGTAGGGATGTTGGTGTGCTGTGCTTATGCATGCCCCTTATAGACCTCTTAGGAATTTCACATTTCACATATTTTTATTGAGATTTATAGGCCGCCCTTCTCCCTGAGGGGACTCAGGGCNGCTCCTGCGTCTTCCCCTCAAACATATTTAACAGTAACCTTTCCATAATGGCTTTGAGGAGAAGTTAAAAGTGAAGAAAGTTTTTAAAGTCCTTGAACAACAAGATTTCCCAGAATATTTTTCTTTACTTTGTAGCAATTTGAATCCAGCAGTCAGCAATCTGTTTCATTATCATTTTCTACTAACTTAATACCACTTTAACCTTATTTATGGCTTCTGTAACAATCAAGGCTGTCCTATTAAAGTGCATCACATAGCAATGGCAGGAGTTTTAATGACAATATCCCCCTTTTATACTGCATATAGATTTAAATTAGAGAGTCTTCTAATATTATTAGTTTAGAGAAGTCAGGAGGGCTACTGGTTTTACTGAGAAGTAATAGTCAACCTAGCAGTTCGAAAGCATGTAAAAATGCAAGTGGAAAAATAGGGACAATCTTTGGTGTGGTCCGTGTGCCTTCGGTGTTTAGTCATACCAGCCACATGACTACGGAGACATCTTTGGACAGCACTGGCTCTTCAGCTTTGAAGCAGAGATGAGGACTAGCACATATGTGCAAGAAGAACCTTGACCTTTAATGGTGAGGAATAAAGGCTAAATGTCTTTCTCCTGCACTATTTCTAATTAAAATCCATGAAATGTACACAAACTCAGAGCTAATATTAATTCAGTTTGAGAAATGTACTTTTTAATACTCTTTATATAAGACACAAGCTGGAAGAAAGCTAGAAAAATTAAATTACCGGTACATTGTTTTTATCAAACAATGTGGCTAAAATCATGAAATATTAAGCTTTGAAATCTGCCCAGAACTCACCCCTAGAGGGCAATGTTTGATCACACATTAGGAAAAAAATAACCATAATTTAAATAACAAATATCATATTTCTTAATGTTAGCTCTCAGATATAGGAATGTTATAGTATGGAGAATGATTAATAGTATCCTTTTGCCCTCAATTACATTTAAATGACAGCCAGTGAAGTTATTTAAAAAAGGTTATATTAGTTGTAAAGTCCTTCTCTTATCATTAATATGAAGTATGACTGTACAAACAGAGAACATCTGCTCTAAAATGTGTATACTGATTTCTGTTGAAGAAAAATATTCTCCTCCCTACAGAGTTGACCAAGGAATAATAAGTATAATGTAAAGCTAAATATAGTCATGAATCTGGATTTAGTCATGCTTACAAATGATTCATTGAAGTTCATGCAACCTGAGATGATTAATTGAAGTCTGACTGATTTCAATGGAACTGAAGTTCTCTTGACCTGAGGATTCTTTGGTTTATAGGCTACTAATAAGTTGAACCAAGTTTCTTCCTGCCTCTTCTTCCAAACTTCTGTTCATTGCTCTAGGTTTCCAAATGAATGGAGGTAAACAGAGTTTCTAAAGATTTATCATTTGTCATCATCCAGTAAATCGGTGGATGAATTGCATGTGGGAAGAATCCAAACCTTTTTGCCAGATTCAAGTCTCGAAACAATGACCACTTAAATATATCTATGATTCATATATTATATTAAACTACAATGTTGCTTGCTTGGTTCTAGCCAAGCATGATGTAGGTATCCAGACATTAAAGGTCATAATTTAGATTATGGTTTGGCATGAATTATGAAATTAGACTAGGTCTGGCTATAATCTCAAAATTTTATTAGAATTTGGTTGTGTGAAATAATATTATCTCTGAATCTTTTTAATGTACATTTCATTTACTATTACCTAACCATTTGTCAATGATAAACCTTCCTTTTTTCTGAAATTAAAACTGTGCATTTCAAAAATGAATATAATCTCTACACTGGATTTAAAATAATATACCATTGTACAATAGCCATATTGCTGATTTTTCCATCTTTTCTCATTATTGGTGGTATCTTTTAGCTTGAAGGGCATTGATTTGACAGGATAGAATATTGCATATTTTTTCATGTGTGTATGTTTGGATACCTAGTTTCTGTGAAAGTTATGCATTGAAAACAGCTTCTGTGTTAAGTTCCTTGATCCTTTTGTTTTTAGACTGGAATTTGATTTCAGCACCATGGATTGCCTTTCAGCCTCCAGAAATTTGCATTGGCAGAAATATGTGCCATGGGGAGTGGGGTTTACTATAATCTTAGCAAGCAAGGAAAAGGAATATGTATCAAATGCTGTTTTTACTATTCAAAAACACCCTTCAAACCCACATATAAAAGGGCTTGGAGTGTGTTAAGGACAAGTGTAAAAATGCCACTTTTATTATTGTTACAGAAACACCCACCAAGAAGTGCATGCTACTGCTAAGTCATCACCCCGTAAGAGCTTGCTTAGCTGTGATCTCATGAAAGGAGCCTCCTGCTTCCCTCCCCTTTAATCTTGGTTTATTGTTAGCATTAATCCCTCTAGACCTGTAGGAGCTGAACAGGCAAGTCAGAGAAGAGAAGTTCCTTGGTCTGGGGGTAAGTCGATCCTATTTCCTTGACAACCATTTATGTTCTGTGTCTATTTTGTCAAAACTATGATGTGCATTCTGATCGGTCTGTTTCAGAGTGTGTTGCTGTTTTCATCATTAACAGACTGCTTTGCTGATTTTGTATCCCAGCATAATACTTTACTCTGTCCTTTTGCTTATGGTTGAATAAACTGTGGAACGAGGTGGATCACAGGGCTAAGAAATCTTTGCAAATGCTTGTAACAATTTGAACATTAATATCAGAAGTAATTTTGAGTTCCTTTTTCAATGACCTCTAGCAAAATGCATTCCTTTGCCATCAATAACGTGGTCTCTTCTTGTTTACTATATGGATTAAGTTTTCTTTTTAGCATGTAATCAGTTGAAGATATATATTGGAGACTGCAGTTTTCTTAGTAATTAGTATGATGGAACAAAAGGCTGTGTTAATGATGCATTGACTTTTAGATGAATTATTATGTTTTATAATGCAAATGATTTGCTTTACCTCCACTATCTCTTTGGGTTAATATATTAAGAGTCACAAAAGAGGGAGGAGAAATCACAAAAGCTTTATTTTGCTTTTCTTCTCATTTCAACTTTGACTGAGTTAATTGCTGTATTTCTGTAGTTTTATTAATATATTCTTTCAGCAGATTATGCTTCACTGCTTGTGCTACAGGATATGAATGCTGAACAATTTTTATCAGTGGAATGTTTATCCATGTTATTAGATTGTATTGCATGACACATTAGTCTCTGTATCAAACCAAATAAAGCATTATACTACTTTATATTATACTACTTTGGCTGGGAGAGGTAGTAGGAAGTTAAGCTTCTGTCTTCTCTTTATGCAAAATATACGCATCCCTATTGAGACCCAGAGGGAACAGTTTGAATTCCTATGTAGTATTGATAAGTAGTAAAATAAATTAATGGATTGTTCCAAAAGTGCTTTTTCAAAAAGTAACTGCACTGTCTTTATTTTTTACTTGAAAATGTTTCTCTTCGCATACAAGAAGCTTCTTCAGTTCTAAGGAACTGAAGCAGCTTCTTAGATGAGAAGTGAAACTTCTTCAAGGAAAAAACAAAGCAAGACCAGTTACCTTTTGAAAAGCATCTTTGGGACAACCATGACATAGATGACTGAGAATTTCCATAGACACATTAATGTATTGTGAGATTTTTACCTCTATATAAGGCTCTAACGATCATTTGTTTTAGATTAAAGTTTGGTTGACTCTTTGTACCACTTCATGGGCATTTGATTTATTAGGGCTATGAAGATACAAAATTGTCTATTCTTAGACTGACACATTGGAATGTTTTGCAAGCCATTCATCTTTCTGTGTGTCTCTCACATCTCTTCTCTCTATAATTTAATGAACTTATATTATATGAAATAATATAATATCAAATATTGTATAATATGAAATAAAGAACATAATTTATTCCCTGGTTCTATATTTTTCCTCAGTTTCTTTTCTGGTTGGGCCATCTCTTTATAGATATCATTAACTATAGTTTGTTTTAGTGTCAATCAAACAACAGTGAAATAGAAAAATGTGGATGGGTTCAATGTATTATATAACATGTTTAAAAAATCTTTTCTGGTTTTACTTAAAAAAGTAACACATTCAACAATGTAAATGAACATCATGCATATTTGCAAAATGGGTGACAGAAAAAAAAGACAAGATGGAAACTCTGCTTTCTCCCAAATGCCTTCTTATATATTCTCTCACATGTTAATTCCACATGTTTAGGAATCATCAAGATATCAATGTCAGATGGCATACTGCTAACTAGACCAGTAATTATATTTCCGCACAATCTGCTTCATTCACAGCTTCCTTATTTCATGCCTGATGATCACGTTGACTTCTTGGTTGCTCATCTTTTTTGCTGTTCATTTCAGAAGCTTAATCAAAATAACTGTTAGAGCTTAGCCTTATTTAACACCCTGGTGATTAACAGGCCACATGCTGACTGGTCTAAGGCTACCAAAACTGGACCGCAGAAAGCCCACTGAGATCTAAGCTAAGTTTTCCTTTGCTGTCACCTAATGGACATCTGGATTTCTGCATTCCAGTTATGGTACCTAGACTGGGGGCAATTTCGCTTTACCTATGCTTGTTCTGTATATTGTGGGCATAACTTATCATTACAAATGTATTTCTAAAATAAACTAATGAAATAAACAGTTGTGAAAAAGCTACCTTCTAAAAACTGCCAACTTTAACTGGGTTGGCACTTTTTTCTTAAATGGGTTATTCATGAACATAATTTTACAATTATCATGAGAATTAAGCCACCACATCAAATTATCCTAGATTTTTATAAGATTAACACTCACTGACTCTGAAATAAATGGCATAAATTTGTATTTAGACTAAGATGTCAGGCTTTATTCATAGCAGTACTAGTTTACGTATACCACTCTCAGAAAATACTAGTTTTGTTGATACCACTTCTTTTAATGAAAAGACATAAAAGATCATGCCAGACTAATCTTATTGCATTCTTTGATAATGTGACAAAATTAGTGGACCAGAGGAATTCCGTCGATATAGCTTA